ACTTATGACAACATCGAGCGCAAACGGTCGTGGACAAAGCTCGATGGGCAAGACCGGATTGGCGGCCAGGAAGGCTTTGTTGTATGTTTGGTTGGATTGGCAAGGAATCATCTACTACGAGCTGCTCCCCTGTGACCAAACGCTCAATTCGACCCTCTACTGACAACAAATGGACCACTTGAAGGCAGCACTCATCCAGAAGAGGCCATCTTTGATCAACAGAGACCGAATTGTGTTCCATCAGGACAACGTCAGGCCACACACGTCTTTGGTGGCGCGCCAGTAGCTCCAGGAGCTCGGATGGGAGTTCTTAATGCACCCACCTTATAGTCCGTCTTATGGTTAATCTCCACACACAGAAAACGATAATCGAAAGCGGAAAATCTCTGCGCCAAATTCACGGAAATAAGTTATAAGCACAGCAGCGGCTGTTGGCGATATGCAGTAAATTATCTCTGCACATTTTTTCAAACAAACAACAAAAACATTCATAAAAACCACACGCACACACAAGTCTACTTTTTTGATTTGTTGTTGTTATATTTTTTTTATAGCAATCACAGCGACTATCTCCGCGTGGCTGCTGCAGCGTTGAAAATTTTTCCTCATTGCTTTTGAATTTTTCACTTTTTTATTATTTTTGTTATTTAGTGCCGGCATTTTGTGAAAAGTGTAACGCCACCGCCGGCAACAGCTTAACTACTCACTTATCTATGTCTCTGGCGCCTCACCTCCCAAACTCTCCATACAACAATATTTACACCACTTTCCTCCTCCAGTTTCGCATCTCTTTCCTATAAACCAGCCAAACTTGAGTATTTTCCATCCACAATTTTTCTTCGCCTACTTAACACTCATTTCGCATTGTTGTTATTGCTTTGTTATTGTAATTTGTCGTTGGTAGTAGTAGTAATTTCGCTCCTTTGTAGTGAAAGAAGTTGCTTGGAAACATTTTGCCATACTAAGTTATCTGTAGATACAAGAAAATTAGTATTTACATTAAACACGTGTATACATACGTATGTACATGTGTGCGGTTGAAGTAGCAGTATGTGTTTGATGCTGCATTTGGTGTTGGCCCACAAACGCGCCATGAAATGGGCACAAGTTAAAGAGATGCTGGGTAATAAAGACGTCAGCGCTGCGGTGTATGTATGCAATTTCTTTTTTATGGGTTTCCGTGCAGTGCAGTTGCGTGTTGTCCATTTTTGTCGCGAATCGTAACGACCACGTAAAATACGTTAGATAAACACATACATATATTCGTTCATATATACATATAATTCACACATATATGAGCCTTTTATATTTATGTGTATAGTTCCATTTTTTATTTCACTTTGCTGGCGCTTACCACAATTTTTTTATAGTCGATAGGTCGGCGCTTTCGTTGCAGATGTGACACAAATTGTAAGAAAATATGTATATATAGGAGATTAATTTGTTGTAAATAAAAAAACATGCGCCTAAAGGTAGGCAACATTTAAAATTGTCATACTAAATTTTTGTATTCACTTTGGTCCGAATAATGGAAGTGCCAGAATTTATATTGTTGGCCCGAAATTTGGTATTCTGCATGTCTATGATAAATTGCCTATTGGTCTTAAAATCCGCCTAAAGACCATCTAAAAGAGTGGCACACGCATAGCCCCTTCCAATTAATATTTAATCCTAAAATGAAATACCATAAATTTGTTATGATCAAGAGGGCTATGAAGACTCAGCCATGGCCGAAGACAACTCTTCTTTCCTTTATTTTTTTTTTATACAATTATTGTCATATTTTGAAAATTAGATATTATTTATTTAATAACAAGTGAAAATATGAATTTTCAGTGTTTTCCTTGAGTATTAAAAATGTTCCTTAAAAATTAGTTTTTAATTGTTCTCCACCAATTATCACATCAATTAGCTTTTTTTCTCAATTTCATTCAGCTCTTCACCGAATCACTTCGTGCGCCGATCTCAATACTAAAAAAAGTTTATGTAATACTTCTTTTTTTTCTCATAGCGAAATATCAATTCTCTTATATTTTTATATAAAATGCCTTCTTAGTAACCCCTCTGCTGTAGACAAATACATACATACATACATACATACATAGGTACATAAATTCGGCCAATGCACAATTTACGTGCGCATACCGTGAAGTTGCAAATTGGTGGCATGCAACGCTACGCAATGCGCTACGACATGCCATGCCTACTGCCTTCAGCGCTTACTCATACTTACGTATAAAAAAAAAAAACGTTACACCACATAAATTCTAATGTGCAACAACAAAAGCATTCAAATTCAATAACTCATGCATATCATTGTGCAAGCGAACGACAGAGACTCACGTCGAGCAACAAAAATAAGCAGATCCGAAAAAAATAAGTATAAAAAATGTATAATACAATAAATAAAAAAAAGAACAAATATAAAATATTATAATAAAGTCAAAAAAAATGCTACAAATTGCATTAGTAAAAATTTGTGCGAAAGTCCTTCAGAATATTGCATTGCAACAACGTCAGGCTAATGAACTCATCATTCACTCTTCATTTTCGAATTTGTAACTCAAAGTCGACGAGTGATGAGAACACACACATTATGTGCATGTGCGTGTACTTTGTATAAAAAACACACATATGTTGCTCGTTTGTATGCCTCAAATATCCGACCACTTAATAGCCATTGACTGACAGTCTGTTTCAGACGCTGCCGCTGTTTCTGCGGCGACTGACGACTGCCGATGAACCGCCGGCAACTCTTATCCTCACGGTGCGGTTCGCATTATTGTCTCAGCCCACAATTTGTTGGGCAAGTTGTGCTTGTAGGAAGCTTAGGAGGAATAGGCGAAAAACAATATTGACGTGCCTGAGTGACCATTGGCCACATGCTGATAGTGCGCACAGACGGAGCGCTACGCAGAAAATGCCCAAAGATATTATCTATTTAGTGTTTCACGACATATTTTCTTTAGTTTTCTTGCTTTCTATTTCACTTTTTTTACAAGTTGCTACTGTTTTCTGTTGCTGTGCGTGTCTTTATTTGCGCTGTCAGCATGCCAAATGGCACCGCAGAAAGGGATTGACAGCTTAACAAATGTGACACTTAATCACGTTGTCAACGGCAGGAGATTGTATGCTTGTCGATTGTGCAAGTACTTCAAGAAGACGAAATTTAATTATTGAAGTAAATTATTAATGATTTTTTGCAAATATTTTAAAAATTTCATGAACTGATATTGATCATAGCGCAGGTGAGAAAAAGAATAATTAAACTTTATGGATGCTCATTTATCATGCGAAAATGAACTGCTGAGTGCAATCCGTAAATATTCTCCTCTCTCCTCTCCGGCTTCTAAAAATTTTAAAGCATTGCCTACAATTAGGCGAATAACATTGAACAGAGATATGAAACATTTCTCAATTAAAAATGAATACGATAAAATTTTTATCATCGTAATATAAAATCAGCAAAATTTTCGCACACGCAATTTGTTGAAATTAATATTAATTCATGCTTTTCCCAATTGCTAAATTAAGATTGAGCGCATCACATGGAAGTGTTGCTGAATCGGGCACCAAAACCCTTAAGTGGGCGCGCATTTCTATAATGTATCGATGAATGACAACAAATACACTTGCATTGAGAGTTACTCAATAACGAACATAAATAGTTCTGTTATAAATAAATGCGGTTATTAACCTAAAAACTACCAACTAAATGCGACAACTCATTAAAATGGCTCCGAAAGCTCAACAAAAAAACAAAAAGTACATGAAAGCAACAGGCAATTGATGAAAGACGAAAAAGTGAAAAATAAGCGAAGAAAAACAACAAAAAATTTAAGAAAAACCGAATTCTTCTTCTGTTGCCACTCGATATTAATAGTACATCTTACACAAACTTATTGCATAGCTATGAAAACAAAAACAAAAGCAAGCGAATCACAAAAGCTAAATATTTGACACTAAAAATCCACTTGACGCGTACAAAGAGCAACTTCTGTCCGATTTATCATCATCATCGCAATCTTTGAGAACGAAACAAGCAATATTCATAAACCTTGCTGTTGCTGTTGTTGTCGCAAAATATATCTATATATACGAAATAACAGTTGTGTAATTGTTGTTGTAAACAGAGGCTGAATGAATGCTCTTGACTCATGAAATTTTAAGCGTTATAACAGCGACAATAAATCTCCACTATATGTATGTATGTATATAATAAACATATACAATTCAATATGTGCCCATGTGTGTGTGTGTGTGTGTGTTGGAAACATTAATTTTGCGCGCATAATTCTTTAAATTCGCATTTATGTTCAATTCTTTAAGCTGTTTGATATATGCCTATGCGTGGGTGTACATACAAATGTGCATATATATGTTTATAAGCATTCATGTATCTACATATGTATGTACGCATATGAATATACATAAAAATAATGAGCGTACAAGTGGTAAACATTAAAAAATCGGCACACAAAATATTCGCTAATAATTTATTATTTTGGCAAAATATTAAAGCTCTACATATTACATTAGTTCTATACATACATACACGTATGTATATGCGACCGATTTTTTGATGTTGGGATATTCTTCACATACCAAATTAATATTGACATCAGTGGCATCAGCGAATTGCCACAAACTTTATATGGTCATAAGGGGTATAAAGACTCCAAGCGACTTTGGCCGAAGACAGCTCTTCTTTCTTGTTTTCTTCGCATTAGTTTCTGCTCTGGTATTCAGAATTATTATTTTAGAAATTAGTCGATACAGATGGTTAAAATGGGTTTGAGATCATTTGAGAGAAGTTTTTCAAAAAAAGATAGAAAAGATAGAAAAAGTAAATTTGTAAGATATTTTTACATACACATGCATACATACATACATACATATATACATATATATATATAGATATATATCCTTATTTAGGAAATTTGATTGCTTAAAATTAAAATCGCCAATTTTTCTTATCGCCTGCTTTCTTCTTCTTCCAGCTGTTCGTTATGGTCGCGTACCCAAGCGTTCACGTGAGCTGAATGGCACACCCTCGTCCACGGATGATCCGAATTCGCTTGTGCGTGTGAATACACCGAATACACCGCAAACGCCACAAATGTGTTCAGTCGCCTCGTCACCCTCCGAATTGGGCTGTACGGGCCAAAATAGTGTCGCCAACACAGCCAATACACCCGGATCTGGTGGAGTTGGTGGTATGGGTGTTGGTGTAAATATGAGTGTCAGCGTTGGTGCCGGCGGTGCTGGCGGTATAATGGGACAATGCGGTAATGTTAGTGTCGGCAATATGGGTGTTGTTGGTGGCAATGGTGGTAACGTTGGTGGGCATACAAATGTCGATAATAACGGTTGTGGCGTGGTTGACTTGCAAGGCCCAACCGCCGAGCTTACTGTTTACGATGTGATTATGTGCGTCTCACAGGCGCATCGCATGCACTGCTCATATACGGAGGAGCAAACACGCGAACTGATGCGGCGACCGGTGGCGGTGCCGCAGAATGGAGTAAGTACATGCTATGTAGGTAAAAAAAGATGAGTTTGTGCTTATATATTTATCCTTTGCAAAATTACTATCCAAACCAAATCATCTCGCTCTCCCTAACTCTTAGTTTGCCACTGTTTCTTCATTTGTATGTATGTAAGTGTTTCACTGTCTGGCTCATGAATCATAATCCTCATCATCATCATGTTGTCATGCTATTTAACCATTGACCCCAAAAAAAGCTGTCTAGCAAATAACTACTCAACAAACGCAGCCCAATTTCAATGTGTTTGTATTCCTCTTCCAATTGACCCACATATTTCCACTCAATCATGCACAAGCCCTACCTCCCTTTCTTACACACTCCATTTTGCTAATTTCTTTTTTTCTCTCTTTTGTACTCATTTCCAGATTGCCACTTCAGTATCGGAGACAATGGAATTTCAGAAAATTTGGCTGTGGCAACAATATGCGGCGCGGGTCACGCCCGGCGTTCAACGCATCGTGGAGTTCGCGAAGCGTGTGCCCGGCTTTTGTGATTTCACACAAGACGATCAACTGATACTCATCAAATTGGGCTTCTTTGAGGTGTGGCTTAGCCATGTCGCGCGTATGATCAATGATGCAACGTTGACATTCGATGATGGCACTTACCTGACACGACAACAACTGGAAATTCTCTATGATGTGAGTAATGGAACTAATTCAGATTTTTACTTGACTTTATCTTCGCCATTTTTTCATCGGATATTTAATGAAATATGGAACGCGCTCTCCTCAAAGTCCTTATCGGGTTTTCTGCTTCCTCAAAGGTTCATTTGGTAAATGGAGCATTAGAGAAAGCTCAAGGAACTACTCAGCATTAAATTATTAAATTTTTTCATTTAGCCTTCAATTTGTTCCACTGCCCAATTTTATTTGAATTAAAATGCTAAATGAACTGGACCTCGCCCTTGCTTTTACATGCCAATATGGATACAGTGTTCTGACTTTCTTTCACAAATATCTTACTGATTCTTCTAATTCCAAATTCATCAAAAAATCCCACCTTCCAATTTTGTTTGAGTAAAAGTAACAATAAAACTCGAGCTACTGTCTGAAGAAAGTCGATTTCAAGAAAGTTCCGCAAATACAAAGTTCGCTACCCTCTGTGCTCTTATAAAATATCCTTTAAAAATGAAGAACATCTATTAGAATACATCTTTCTACACTTCCAGAACGACTTCGTAATCTCCCTAGTGAATTTCGCCAACACACTCAACAGTTACGGCCTCAGTGATACCGAAGTGGGCCTCTTCTCCGCCATGGTATTGCTCGCCTCCGATCGTTCCGGCCTCGCTGAACCCAAAGTGATTTCCCGATCGCGCGAACGCGTTGCCGAAGCATTGCGCGTGCAACTCGTCCGTTCACGTGCCGGCTCCACACAAGCACTACAGCTGATGCCAGCACTGGAGGCTAAAATACCCGAATTGCGTTCGTTGGGCGCCAAACATTTCTCACATTTAGACTGGCTACGAATGAATTGGACGAAGCTGCGATTGCCGCCACTCTTCGCAGAAATATTCGACATACCCAAGACAGAGGATGATCTGTGAAGAGAAGAACAACTAGAGACTGCCTATAACAAGTTGAACTGAAGGAAGGAAATAAAAATGTGACGCAAATTTCAGCTGCGAAGTAGCAGCGAAGAAGTGGCTAAAGGGAAAGCGGATATAGTGAAGAAGAAATGTAAGCAGCAAAGAGAAATATGGGGAAACGCGTAGCTTTCGCATGTGAAGAAGTTGTAGCTACTCAGACTAGACACACAGTTAGCAAAAAAGAGATTTTTGAATGTGAGGAATAAATGAAAAAAAAAAGAAAAAACAAATTCAATAAATAATAACATTAATATTATTAATGACACTACTATACTACGTTTTTTAAAATAAGCGTGAGTAGTTTTTAAGCAAAAGAAACCATATTTACAAATATTATTAGTTCATAAATAGATGAAAAAATGGAAAATATTATTTAAAATAATTAAATTTTTAAAAGTTGTTTATATAATTTTAAATAGCAGTCGTAGAACGAAATGTTCACAGCGGAAATTAAAATACAAATCTTTTTTGTTGTTTATAAAATATTTTTAAAATGAACTATTATTATTTGAGTTTTAGAAAATATTCAAACCAGTTTTAGCTATACAGAAATATGTATTTAAAAATAATTTTAAATAAAGCGAAAATTACATTATTTACAAGCATAAATAAATACATACAAACATCACGTGATCATGCCACAGACAAATGAAACATTGCAATATCATTAAGAAAGAAGATAGAAGAAGAATTAAAAACATAAACATAAAAAATTTAAACATTTGATAAATATGAAAAATTAAATATGATTAACTATCAAAATCTAAGAAAGATAGCAAAGGTAAAAAAAATCATGTTGCTTACATACATATATGTACGTATGTATGTATGTATGTATATATGTAGCTATTAAGAAGTATCTAAATCGTAGAAATCATGAATTCAGCGCTGATTTAATGAAATAGTGAAACTCTTGCGGTGAACAAATAAAATTCAAACATCAATACATACATATAAATAAAAAGAAAACCTTAAATATAATTATTAAAGAATCAATAAAAATAAATAAAAATTTACGTTACGTAAAAGGAAAAATATCAGTTTATCGAATGTTATGCATTATTTTTTTTTAGATTTTTAAACATAACTATATATATATATATATATATGCAAACATACATATATAACAAGTTTGTTATTTGCAATAAAATATGTGTGTACAATTTTGTAAGCTTTTTAAATTTCATCTAATTTTTTTAAATAAGACTAAATAAAAATTGTATGATAAAAATGTTTTCCCAACACATTAACCATAGCAATTAGCGGAAACCACACTAGAAATCTCAATTGTTAAAACTCTGACACATGCAAAATATGCGCGACAAATAAATAAAGGTATATGACGTAAAAGTAGAATATTTCCACACATATTATGCGTAAAGAAAAACAACATCTCTATTTTGAATATAAATAGAAAACAGTAAAATACTTCAAATGTAAATATGTGCACGAATAAATAGTTTGCAAAGCAAAAATAACCATATATCCAATTCACATGCTCTACGTGTTGAATACATACCTTAACTACTTAAAACAATATTATTAAAAGAACAAATTAAACAACTTAAATACAATTAATGGCAATATCTAAAATCCAGTCACCTTCTTTACCAATCAAATGCATTCAATTTCAAAACTAAACTCCATGAAACATTCAAAAATGTTCATAAACATATGTATGTCGTTTCAAAATATCCTAAAAAGGGTGGGTGTACTTTTACCGATAGAATTTCTCGACAAATCATAACACTAAATACGTCTGCCATTTTCATTCACAAGCATGCAAAATATTTATTTCATTGAGTCTCATTACAAAAAAAAAAAAGAAAGCTTAAACAAAAACAAAAAAAAACAAAAATGAGTAGATTTAAAGATTTCACTTCTTAGAACACCTTAAACTACATAAAATGAAGGTTTCACCTCAACTGTAACACATTTAAAAGCATATAAATTTACATACATATGTATATACATACATTTATATTATATGCACATCAAACGCATGCACATCAAACGCATGCAAAATATAATAAAGCATTTTTATGCACCTTTAAGAATTGCCAACAAAAACATATGCGAGTACATAGATACATAATGCGCTTAGTTGAGGTACTTCTTGCGAAATCTTCCGAAAAAACAACAAATGCGTTGACTTTCATATTGACTTAGCCTTAATAATTAATATTAATATGTACATAATGTTTAAATTAAAAATTATGGAAAACATAATTTACGATGTGTGTGTACAGCAACAGCACATGAATTTTCACTCATTCACTCACTCATACTACATAAATATTTAATTGATCATTTAACAACAAAAACGATGTGCATAAATATGTAAACATAAATAAGTTCATTAAATGCATTCATATATAAATATGTTTCACTTTCGTCGTCCTCACTTATGTAATATGTAACTATTTATATTTATAAGTACATACTTTATACATATTGTTTAAACAATTTTTGTTTGCCTTCTCAATTCTGTTGTTCAATGAATATTACTTTTTGTTTTCCTTCTTCTCCCAATAAAAATGTAAGAATATTTTTAATTGACTTTATATTATATTAGGGCCTGAGTTCTTTTTATGTATGTATTATATAAGTGGCAATCACAGCAACAACACTGCGCATTAATTATTAATTTTTGTTTGTATTGAATACATATTTTTATACATATGATACAAAACTACAACAAACAAACTACATACATTAATTCAATATTTTACTTTTGCAATTTTAAATAGTTAAAGGAAATGAGAACAAATTAAAGCAAAGCAAGCGACTACAAATCATTATTAGTTATGTAGATATACATACATTTTTTTCTAAATAAAACTTAAACTTTTATTACACAAAAAATGAAACAATCACTTCATTATGGTTTTAATTTTGCAACCAGGTACGTTATTTATATTTCTTATTGGCCGCAACATCAAGTGGAGAGTATTGAAGTTATATTTTAAACATTTTTTATAGCGGCTTCATATTCACATTTGCTAGTGTGTACTTATAATTCAGCACTTTCAGCGCATTTAAAGCTTTAGCTGCATTTAAAGAAGAAGAAATCATTACCTTGTCTGTCTGACGATTTCTTTGAACTCAAATTCTCCATCTTTCAAGGTTATTCGGCTGAAAATATGAAATTAACAGGAAGCAAGAAACTTCTTAAGACTGAGGCAAATCACAATTGCAGTGATTACAATAAAGTACTCGCCCGGAACTCATAAATATATACACACGTATGCTCACACAAATATGTAGGCAACCATTTTATTGTTATTATTTTTCACAGAATGTTTTTAGCGAATTTTAGAACCAAGGAAACTAAACAAAACGAATTCAAATAAACTGTCAATGAAGAGTTGCTTCCCAAAATTTTGCGAACATTTGATATTTTACGAATTTTGAATGCAATTATTTTCCTCAATATCTGCAAGTAAATTGAACAAGGATAATTTCAAATGATTCATTGTTTTAACAATAAATATACATTTATTTTGCAATAATCACAAAATGCAACTCTGCATACAGGAAACGCAAAAGTAATATGGATGCAACCATGCAGGAAGCCGTTACTTGGATGACGCTTCGAACCTTCGGTATTGAATATACGAAATTATGCATATGTAAATAATTTAAATATGGGTTTGGTGAATAAATAGATGAAATATGACCTTGTTAAATCTAAAGCGGTCCTATCGGGAAATTGTGAAAGTATGAACCATAAGTAGATTTTTGGAATAGATATTTTGAGATGCTTAAATAAGTATTTGTGAAAAAAGCAAGTGACATGTTGGGGACACTGCGTGTTTAAACGGATCACATACATACCTACATATGTTATACGTAAGTAATTTTTTCTTCATTCATTTTGCTCTATATAATTTGCGTGTTCATGTTGATTCAAATAATTTATATTTTTCATTTGACATATTTAATTTTAATAATATTCCATGCTCATATCATTTCCTATAAAAGTTTCGTATTTGTACGTAACTTGCACACCACACCAATCATCAAAAACAAATATTTAATCAAAAATACTTACATATGTTGTATTTGTTTAGTATTTCAATTATTTATGACTTTGTTGCACGATAATTAATGCTCTCAAAGCATCACTTTAAACAATTAAACACTCAATAAACATTTTCAACTTTGGCTCTAACACTCGGATACATACATACCAAAAATAATGGAATGTAATTACGTATACAATTAAGAAATACGCATAAGTAATAAGTATTTTAATCAGATGTTAATAAATAACTTTCTGCCTTTAATTTTGCCTTTAATTCAGAGTGAATCGTAAAGTACAAGTTTGCGTATATGTCTTTGTATATGTATGTGTTTATATAGTGAACTTTTAGATACATATAATATGTAAATGATTTTTTTATAAAAAAGTAATGGAAACAATTTACGCCGAAGAAATGCTTTATTAATAATGTAGCTAAATATGAGTGTGTATTGAAATTAAATCAAAAATATAAAAGATTAAAATTTGTTATTTCCCTAAAGTTAGCGGATGTAATAAAAAAATGTATATATAGACTCCTTTAATTTTTTTACTAAATTAAATTAAATTATGGATCAAAGTTAAACATAGAAAATCGCCTTCAATAATCAATATTGCATCTTTTGCATTGTGAACATTTTGCTAATCTTTGCGTAAAATTATTACTCGCCATCTTCCAATACATGACTTGCTGCTGAGATTTATATATGTATCCTTAAACCTTTTTCAATTGAATAATTTTAATACTTTAATGAGTCTTCAGCAGAGCACTTCCATAATTTTCAATAAATATATATAATGTCGTTTATTTAAAGATTAATTTCAAAAATACGTATATACATACACACACAAATCATATTTCAAAGGAAACTTTCGAAAACTTCATTGAATTGCACTCATTCTATTACATGACATAAAATCTTTGCGATTTTATAGCTTTAACATATTTAATATTTAAATACAGATGAATAAAATAAAACTAAATTTTTTACTTAAAATAAATTTACATTTATACAGAGATGACAATGGATATTACTTATGGTGTACTATTTAGTAGAGAAACAGTAATTTTACATAAAAAGCATATAGAAAATGTGTCAAATTTTTTAAATTTTTTATGAAAATTTCATAAGTGCATATATGCAAAAATAATGCATGATTAAGATGAATTTAATAAGAACTCACTCTTATATATGTAGAGAAATGTATTATTTAACTAAATATGATATTTGTGGTAAGTGCGTAAATCAAGATTAGACATTGGATCATCTACATACATACATACATATTGCATAAGCTACGAAAATATAGAAAATACAAAGTAGTTTATTTGTTGTTGTCGTAGATACAAATACAAATTCATATGAGAATTCATATGTACATATGTACATAAAATAATGGAATTTATGTATCAGCACCAAATAAAATGCAACCTGCAAACATACATCTGTACATCTACAGTAATTACTTAGGTATACAGCTTTGTGTATGAAGTAAAATGGCACAAATCTCTCAAGGTGTTTCTTAAGCAAATTACGTCGATATGCAAAAGAAAAATATATTGAAAATAGTGATACTAAAACGTATGCATCCATACTTACAGATGTACTTGTAAACATATACTGCTCTTCTTCCTAAAAAACGCCACTTAGCGTTTCCACATACATACATACATACCTACATACGAGTTTTTACATACATATAATATATTATATGAAACAAAAATTAAGTACTTGCAATACTATGTTAATATTTATATCTTACATTATAAATAATTAATAAAGTCTTAGACAGGTACAATATTCGCTAATACATTTGTCAAATTGTAAATGTAAAACTACTGTTTGCTTTTGCTGTGAAAACTAAAACCACTAACAAAATATAATAAATGTTTACTTGATCTCAAAGTAGTTCAATTTAATCTTTACTCAGCTACTTCTGAATAGATAACAGGAAAGATAGTAAACTTAAGCGTTAAATGCATCACTCATACATACACATTTCGTATATTTACAAATCTGATGAAATTCAACAAAAAAAAAAAAACAAATTAAAAAAAAACAACAGCAAAGTAATGCAGCAATACTTAATATTATATAACAATAAATATATATAAAGATAACAAAAGTGATTAAAAAACAAATAAAATATAAAGCATTGAGCATCATGCCAATTTTAATCAATAGAACATGAAGAATTAATAAGCTAGTTTTCTTTCTTTTTTCAAGAGTAAAAGGAAACTCAGTAAATAGATATGTACACACGGCGTAAAGCACTCATGTGTAGACATACATAAATATTATTAAAATTCAGAATAAAAAATAAAAATGAAACCAAAAAAACGGGAGTTTTATTTTCAAGAGCTTTTCAAAGCACTAGTGTGAAGTGCATGCATATATATTTAGTTTTAATTTTTAATAAGGCATAATTTATGCGTAACCTACCGTAAACCTAACAGCTTTACTATGACATGCCGAAGCTTTACGTGATTCTCCCGAGTATATAAAGCACTAATGAATTATTGTTTAATTCACTATGTGAGAAATCCAGCCCCAAACCCCACTGACCGCACATGTATTTATAAAGTTATTGGAACTGCGTTTTATTTTTATACGTTATTATTTACATTTATTCTCAAAGAATTTGGTAGACTAGTGTTGTGAAATTTCACTTAACACTGTATTGTTTATATGATTTTTACTAATTGCAATACATGAACATACATTTTTCTATTTACCCACAACAGATATGTGTACCCGTATTAACGTTGCACAGCATTAATTATAACAAATATTTAGGATGTTGTTTTGTATACACGTATTTATCCTGTTTAGTCATCCCGTGGTTGTGGATAAAATTGTGTCAATTGTTTGGCAAACTCCTGCGCCAATTCCTCACTGGATGCAGCCAATACACGTCTTGACATAATATCGAACTTGTCTCCTGTGGGATCAATTACAACACCGCCTGCTTCGAGTACTAGGATCTCGCCAGCGCATACATCCCATGCATGCACGCCAAATTCGAAATTCACGTCAGCACCGCCGAGTGCCACCATGGCCATATTTAATGCAGCAGCACCCAACATGCGAATGCTATAAGAAGATAAAGAATGCATTGAACTTATTGTACAAATTATAGCCAACTCTGGAAAACGCACCCGTGCACTTTTGGGACAATTTTTTGAAAGTTTTCGAATATGACTTTCAGTTTATCAGTGTCCCGGGATGTACCAAACTCGGTGGTAACCAAAGATTTACCCAATTCTTTTTGACCGCTTACATGTATGCGTTTTCCATTAAGAAATGCACCCTGCCCGCGTCTTGCAGAGAAGCGTTGTCCTATTAAGGGATTAAAAATAATGCCGATTTCGGTGACTTTATTCACCTTCAACCCAATTGAAATGCAAGAATGTGGAAAGGAATGCACGAAATTCATTGTACCATCAACTGGATCAATAATCCAGGTGGGCGCATTTGTCAATTTATTTGGTGCGCCACCAACAGCGCTCTCCTCCTCTCCAATGAACCTAAAAGCCAAGTTAATAACTTTATATTATATAAATGGTTTGATATAAACAACTTATGTTCTTACTTGTGATCAGGAAAGGAGTCGAGTAAACCTTGAATAAGCAGCTGTTCCACCTCCTTGTCAGTGGCTGTGACTAAATCAATATCATTCGCCTTTTCTTCGAATTCCTGGCGGGTTTCATTGCGTTTTGCTACCAACTGCTCGACAGAATATTTTTATAGGTATATGTAATGGTCCTCCGTATAAGATAATAAAAAGTCTTACCGCTCCAGCTTTATCTACCAACTGTGAAACAACTTCAAAGCACTTGTCTAAATCAACACTGCAATCACCCATTTTCCGTATGTCTTTACTATACCAAGCAACCGCTGTATTTCTGAATTGACAAGAAATGGAATTTTCCACAGCTGGATAACTAAGCCAGTGTGAAATGATTCGCCTAAATAAAAAATAGGACCTGCGGAGCAAAGCCGTTGTGGAATGAAGGTTACTTCAATGTTGCGACTCAATACTCCGTGAAAATTATCCGTCTAAATTTATGAGTTTAATTTAATTAAGTAACACCCGCTGGTAGTCCAAAATGCACAAAATATCACTTCCCGCACTGTACTGACGGAAATGTATTTGAAAACTAGCAAAAGCTATCAAATATGCCACTATCGCCGGTAAAAAGTAAGATAAATTTATGAAAATTAAACAAGTGTGCGAACGTGTGCAGTGCGTATGAGTAATATTGGTGTTGCCATATTGAAGAATTACACATGCAATTTTATTAATCTTTTATCTAACTTTTAGATAAATGAATTTATTTGATTTTATTCAACTATTTTAATGTCTAAACAGATACATATATTTTTACACTTAAACATTTAGAGGATTTCTTAAATAAAAAGTACAAATCACAAAGTTATTATTATTTGTTTTATGTTATTCATTTAATATTTCAAATTCAATTTCTTCACTATAACTATGATCCATTAACGATTGGAGAGATGATGGTGATTGTTGTTGCTGTTCTTCTTCATAGAGATCTGCATCTTGCTGTTGTAGTTCATTTTGATTTTGATCTTGTTCTTGTTCTTGTACTCGTTTTATTATTTTTGATGATATTTCCGGGCTGGGTGATGATGATTCAATTAAGCGGATGGAGGGCAAAGGAAACCCTTTTTCTAATAAAAACTTATAAATTGTACTGTTTGTTGTATAAATAACTTTATATGCCTCTATATCACTTGTAGACCAGCTCACACTATTGCCATTTTTTATCAATTCTATTTGGGATTTTGAAAAGATGCTTTGCAATTTTTTCTCATAATTTTTCTTCTGTGTTTCGACTATAGTTAAACGTTTTGACAAAGCCTGCACCGCGTAACGATGTCTCCTTTGCTCTCCTATTAAAATTCGTTTCGCTGCAGCGAGCTCTATGCGATGTTGGCTATTTTCTTTTTGCAGCGCGTCATTGGCGCGTTTCAGTTCGATCCTATAAAAAGGAGTCTAATTAACTGACATCAATTTACTATATTTTATAACATACAACTTTTGCTCCGTATCTGAAACTTCACCAGAATTTTGTGTGTATGAGACATGCAAGGGATTCTGCGATTCTTGGTTTTCAATAAGGGTGTGTTCGTTCTTTAAGAAGTCTTCAATATCTTCATCCATGTTTTCTGAAATATCAATGGTTGTCTCCTTCAACTCTTCTATAAGAAAATTTTATTATTTAGGCAAATTTCGGAAATTATCTTTGAAACCAAATTGCATACCTGCTTTTGTGAGATCCGCATCATATTGCTTAAGTAATTCATCCACAATTCTTTTATTCTCTAGCTTAGTTGCTTCATCAATCTCTTGTTCAACATTGCCTTTATAAAGTGTTGGAACAGCTCCATTCTTAAGCAATCTTCGTTTCGAGAAACCTATTGTGATAACCAAAGCGTACAATTTTGGACTAGTTTTCGAATATTTACATAGATAGAAGAATTTATATGTATATATATATACCCATTTCAAATTTTTGTCTGTTTTCGATATCATCAGGAGTAAAATGATTCATGCACATTACAGATGTGCTTGGATTGAATTTATTTTTGCGCCGGCAAAATTTCATCCATTTCTCTAACAAAGTGGGTTCACTGGGAAAACGAAAAAAACTGAAATCGGACGCCCTCGAAAGGTTGGTGCTTTTGCAATTTAAGACAGCGCACTTCATTTATTTTAGTTTGAGCTTCGCTTTACCTAGAAACTTATTTACTCTTAATTCTACAATTACGTTTATTTGTTACCAAAAATTATCTTCTGTGACGTATTTTATTGCTGTCAAAATCATAGCGATGTCTCATTTTTGGATTATTCAACAGTCAACTATCGATTATTTCCGATATCAACAAAAGGAAATTTGGCGATTTTTAATGCAAATACATACATAAGTACATAGAGGCCAATCTAATATTCATATTCAAATAATATTTCCTTGCCCTGTGCTATACGTAACAATATCAAATCTTATCTGTTATCTGATAACCCGTTAACTCGGATATATTTATATTTCGGATATCAGTAACCAACTGAATACACGACCGCGAACCATGAAGAAATTGTATTGGAATTTATATATGTTCCACAGAAAATTACAGACAATACCTTCGTGTGATGTTGGAGCTTCAGATGCAATTTTTGTATTTTCACGACGCCGGACTCGATCAGAACGTTGTTCCTCCGTTATTTTCTGCTTTTCCACTTGCACTTTGTAAATAGTTGGTACGACGTCTCGCTTCAAAATCCTTTTATTGGCGAAACCTAAAAGAAGTTGATAAAGCACTTCCATTATAATCTCAAATCCATTACTATGACAAGTATTTCTATATACCCAACTCATACTGCAGATTATTTACCACATCTTCCCTTTCAAAATGATCCATGCAAATGACACAGTTTTTGAAATTAAATCCCTTTCCTTGGCGGCAGAACTTCATCCACTTGCGAGCCAAACTTGGATTTGTTGGAAATGTAAATAAACTACATTCAACTGCTGATTTTTTATAACCATTGGTACATCCAAAGACCGCGCACTTCATTATTCACTTAGATTTAAAAAAAATCGCAGACAAAATAAAAATATTTACCGGACGTTCGTTAGCCACTTTGCTAATAAATTTGATAGTGTGACGTTGCGGAAAAACAACAGCTGATTGTCAGAATAAAGACTTGGTAAAGGCCTGTTCACATCGAACTAAATTGCGCAATAGTTCTGTTCGGTGAGAAATGTCAGTAAGAAAGAGCCACCAACGAAATAACAAAATTTCTTTCGGTGCAAATTTTAATGACTCACCGAACAGGACTATTGCCATGAAATATCAGCTGATATTTAGTTTGCTGGGAAGTTACAAAGATGTAGGAAAAATAGCAATGAGACTTTTCAGTAAAAAACAAGCGTAAGTTATTTAGATCTATATATAATTTTGACTATATGGTACTTAAAATAGTAACAATATAAGCAAGCAAATGTTATTGGATGTTATTTACAATGTTTTTTCTCCAACGATTTCAAGATGACGGTAAAGAACAAATTTTCCTTTGGGAGATTAAGACTTCAATTTTAATTTAGGAAAACCATATCACAACACAAGGTAAGGCAGGCCTGTCGTAAGAGGCGACTAAAATCCAATAGTTCCCGCGACATTCGGGTCTTTATACCGGAACGACCCGGATTTTTTCCGGCCAAGGACTGTCACTCCCGCAATATTCCCCAAAAAGTACTTTGGGGAATAATTTTGCGGTTACAACAACAACAACAACAAGTATAGTTTCATTGGGGATAGGGAGAATTATTAACATTCAGTACCCTTTAATAAATTCCATTTGTACTATTTCGGGAGAACTTTGTATTTACAGATTTCTTCATCCAACCTTCACACCAACTCTTTTATAAAACAGGTTTTAATTATAGATTATATTCAAGAATACACAATGCATACCTACATGTTTAAGGCTTTTTTTACATTGTTTAATTACAATCTTTTAATTTTCAATCTGTATTTTTTCGTCCCAGCTGAGTCAACAGGTACTGCTCCACATTGCAACAGTCTCTTTTGCCAAAGGTTAATTTTTACCAAAAGATTACTTGAATTTTACTTATACCCAATTCAAAAATTTGCGTTTTCTGATACCCTCAGCTTTCAAATCATTAATGCACATTACATTTTCCTACAAAGCTGGAAAGCAGGAAACTTAGATTTACTTTAAAACCCTTCATAATTATAGAATTGTGTGCATTTAATTTTTATGAAATATTCTCCTCATACGTGAAGTGTAGCCAGAGACCATAGAAAAGGGCTGTCAAAATCATAGTGATGCTTGTTTTTAATTATCGATTATTTTGAACATCGATAGTTGGGAATTTAAACTTTTTGACCAAGGCGAATTGAACAAAGCTGAATTTTTACCAAGGCGAACTCAGAGCAGAAGGTTTCTCACTTTTGAGCGCCAAAGTAAATTAAAAGAAGGAATAAAATAAGTATGTATGTACATATATATTATATATATATTTATTTTTCATTTTAATGCTTTCAATAACTTCAGCTAAACATTTCTTTTTATATGTAGCATTTGTCTACACTGTGATGAATACCATATATATTATATATATATATATATTTTAACAACTAGAAACACTTTTAAATAGTTGTTTTATTAACAATTTTGCATTCAAGATAGGTATGAATAACGGTTAGACGGCTTTTGAATTTTTTTTAAATAAAATTTTGAATAAGCAATATTCCATAATTAGATGAAGTCATAAAACACGACTTGGAACGAGTGTAAATTTAGTAAATACACACTTAATACATAAAAATTAATTAATATTTGGGAAGGAAACAATTTGAAAAGCTTTCAGCAATTCTAATTTGCATGATATGTATTTGTTGCTTACGAGTCTTTAGCAATTTTTTCCGTTATTGGAAAAGTCATCAACATCAATATTGTACACAGATAAATAAATAAATGTTTGAACAATTCTGTATATATGTATATATACTTACTACTACATTCTACAAACACCGAGCAGTCATTATTGCTAGCATCACTTTTCAAAAACCTTATTAAGCCCCCCACCATACATTCTTAAGCAATATTCTCGGCAACACCAACCGTACTTCGTCCCTATGCCTACTGATATGTTAAGTAATCACGACTTGACTTAGAACCTAAAATTATGTACATTCAGGAGCATGTGCACTTCTGTCTATTGGCAGAATCCGGCTTAACTCCATGCTCTCACATCTCCCCAAATTACAACTACTGCCTTACATACATACATATGCATATGCTTTTAGTGTATTTATATTGTGGATGGCATATTGATACATACAGATGATTTTATATTAAACAATATAAACAAAAAGTGTAAGTTCAAGCGATAAAAGATTAAATCAAGGATATGCTTATTTAGCTTGAATATGTTGGCGAAAGCATTTGGCTTAAAGTTTAATTAAATAACGGTTTAATATTTGCATTTCAATATATTATATCTTGTGGTCTTTTATAGTATACTTTCTGAAATCTGAAATCCTACATTAAATATTTTCTTTTTCACAAGATTTCAATAAAAATCTATATTTCAAACAGCTTACGAATATTAACGAAAATCTAAAAAGAGAACTGCATGTATGTATGTAAATGTTTTATTGTTTTATTATTATATGATCATTTAAATTTACTTACGGTCGCAGGGAAAGACTCTTAAATAAATAAATTTAGCAATGACAGCTACAAATTATAACAATAGAGAAAAGTGTAAAGTGTATTATTTGAGCGGTACCCACCTGTGATGGTTGTTGGTTCCTTGGACTCACTGGTGGTCTTTGTGTCATATCGAAACTAGTGGTTTTGTGTTTTAATGCTTTTTCTTTGTATTTATCTGTTGCTATGTATTTCTGATCTTCTTACACTCATTATACATTTCTAAATATTTTTAATTATAATAAAGGACTATATGATAGTTTAAAATTAGTATTATCACATTAAACAACTACAGTAACTCTTCCGAAAAGATCAACTAGAACAAAAAAAAAAGAAAAAAAAAAAGAAATTCTAATAAACAAGTGCAATTACAAACTACAACGTTTTGCAGATGGATAAATGTGTAGTATTAAAAGCTAACTACTAAACATGCGTTTTATGTTATGTACGAATGTGTTAGAAAGTAGTACATACAAACTAATGTAAAAACTATACACATACAAACATATCTACATATGTATGTGATAATGAAAATATGTAAAAACTAACGGAGAGCAATTTGGTGCTTAAGTATGTTATATATGTATGTAGTAAAAGTAATCGGTTCTTTTGTTATATATTTGTGAGCTTTTGCCTTAAATTAAATATGTGTTTCCTTTAAATAAGATATTTAAAAAATTATTTGCTTTTTTTAAAGTTAACAATTCACAACTTGAACTCACAACAACAACACAAAGAGGTATAACTGATTTGTGCTTTGAGTCTTAAATAAAAAATAAAAACTTTCTTTTACACCTAAAAGATTTGGAGACCTTCATTGTTAACTATCCAATATAATATAATATCTTCTCATTGTGTTGAAGCTTTTGCTTCGCTATGACTTTCTTACTCGAACATAACCTTTTGCTTGTTTCCATTTCGTTGCCCACCAACTGTAACGTTGCCTATTTATTCCTATTTCTTCCTATTTCTTCTTTTTACAAGTATTACTAAAGATTTTTGTATTTTCCATGCGGACATACATACATATTTCCAATTTATGTACGTTTCCGCGCACAGCCTTCGCATTCGCTTTACTTGGCTTCGACTGGTCGATTCTGGAACAATTGTTCGACAATACTTTCGTCGGCCAGCGTCGAGGTATCGCCAACATTGCGATCATTTACCGCTACTTTACGCAACACACGCCGCATAATCTTACCGGAGCGGGTTTTCGGCAAACCCGGTGCATGTTGCACAACATCGGGCATGGCGAAGGGTCCAATACGCTCACGTACTAATTTTTTCAATTCCGATATAAGTTTGGGATCGAAAGTTTCATTTTCATTTGGCGTTATGAAGCAATAGAGACATTCGCCCTTTACGGGATGTGGGCGTGAGACGACTGCCGCTTCGGCTACACGATGATGTTCGGTAAGCACTGACTCCACTTCGGCTGTGGACATTAAATGTCCCGACACGTTAAGCATGTCATCAACACGTCCGGTGATCCAGAGATAACCATCAGCGTCACGACGAGCACCTGAAAAAAGAATGGGAAAATGTAATTGTAACTGAAACACAAACTTTGACGAGGCAGACACAGAAGATCACGTAATAAATGTGATTTCAGCGCCAGACTAGACTTGGTATATGTGACTATTCTCGTCGAAAGCTCTACACTCTCTTTTCACAATCGTAACCTTTGGATTTCATAAAAAATTATGCATTGAAACTCTTAACTCACCATCTCCAGTGCAATAGAAGCCAGGGAATTTCGAAAAGTATGTACTCTCAAAGCGTTCGTGATTATTATACAAAGTTCGCATCATACCGGGCCAAGGTTGCGAGAATACCAAGTAGCCTTCACCTTCTCCTTTTATTTCAATGCCACTCTCGTCGAGCAATGTGGGCTTAACGCCAAAGAAGGGGAATGACTGCATAAAGAAGGAAAACTTGAATTATGTTATTTTTTATAGGAATTTACATGGGGAGCTTACCGCCGAGCCCGGCTTCATGGGTGTTGCGCCCGGAATTGGTGTGATCACATGACCACCAGTCTCTGTCTGCCAGAAGGTATCCACAATCGAACATTTCTCCTTACCGATATAACGATAGAACCACAGCCAAGCCTCAGGGTTGATAGGCTCACCAACGCTACCGAGTACCCTAGAAGAAAAATTAAAAAGGCAAAAGATGTATAAAATATAAATATAAAAAAAATAAAGGGAACTCACTTCAAACCATTAAGATTGTGCTTCAGAACGGGCTCCTCTCCAAATTTCATAAGCGCGCGTATAGCTGTGGGTGCGGTATAAAATTGTGTCACCTTATATTTATCAATCACTGCCCAAAAGCGATCGTTATCGGGAAAGAATGGTGTGCCCTCAAACTGATAAATAATTATGAATAAGCCTTAATGAACACCAAGAACAACAATTTCGTTCCACACTCACCATCACCGATGTAGCGCCATTAGCCAACGGTCCATATACCACGTATGAGTGTCCAGTGATCCAGCCAATATCAGCAGTACACCAGTAAATATCACCTGGCTTATAATCGAAGACAATTTTGAAAGTAGTGGCGGCATACAACAAATAACCCGCAGTCGTGTGTAACACGCCCTTTGGTTTGCCGGTAGAACCGCTTGTGTATAACATAAAAAGTGGATCTTCAGCCTCCATCCACTCCGGATAACATGCAGGCTCCTTATCCTCCATCTCTTCATGCCACCAGAAGTCACGATCTTCCGTCCATGGTATATCCTGTTCAACATGATCTTCGGCACAGGGTGTCACACGCTTCAAATGTGAAACAACAATACATTTTTCCACAGTGTGACCCAACTCTTCCACTTTCTCCAACGCTACGTCACAGAGTGACTTCAGGTACAATGCTTTCTCGCCACGCCAAGCACCATCAGCTGTGATCAACACTTTAGCACGGCAATCGAACATACGCTCCGCCAATGAATCGGATGAGAATCCAGCAAAGACTATGGAATGCACTGCGCCGATACGCGCACAAGCCAACATGGCAATGGGCAGTTCGAGAATCATGGGCATGTAAATGGAAACACGATCACCCTTCCGAACGCCATGATCTTTAAGAACGTTGGCAAATCGGCAAACTTCCTCCAGCAGCTTACGGTAGGTGAGACCACGTGAATAGTCATCGGGATGATTACCCTCCCTATTAGAATCATATAAGAAAAGTGGAAGTTATTATTGAAATCAGTGGTGGAATAATTATTTACACACATAGACAAAATCTATTACTATTTCTTTAAAAATAAACACAGAAACTGTGCATTAGAGATTGTCTATCCATTGACAGCAAACACTTCGATAGTTAACATAGTCTGGTCATGAGAAGATAGCACAACACTTAACAGGTGTGTGTGTGTAAGCAATTACCGTCTAATTACCGTCCTATCATGAAGCCGGTGCAACGAGAGTATGGCACACTAAGTGACACTAAGTGATGGTGATAAAGTAAAATTTATCAGATCAAAGATTTTAGTTATCAGTCCGCTTGCTATCTGACTCTCACACTGTCATTTTGATATCGGGTTATGGCTGCGGTTGTTCGACTCTGAGCGGATATGCCCGCTCTTTATGCTGGACATAAATTTCATTTTAATTAGAACACTAGTATGAGGTTCTTAATTGATAATTGGCTTTTTATGCTGAATATAAAATAATTGTTGATTATGATTATGATTTAATACCTTAAAAGTGATCCTCTAAAGTAATATTTCCTTTATCAATTATTGACTTCCGACAGCCAAGAATAATCGGAAGCAGATAATTCTCTCTCACTTTCTCTCTCTCACTTTCTTTCTCTCTCTCTCTCTCTCTCTCTCTCTCTCTCTCTCTCTCTCTCTAACTGGGACTCAAGAATCTTAATTTTTTTTTAGGAATTTTACATGCATTCCCCTATTAGCAAGTCCATTTACCGTATCGACTGAATATAAATTACAAACTGTGTACCGTAAAAATATTTTTCAGGCAAGAAATTTTATATTTTATTGCTGTTAAGGAATGTTTATGGTATTTGATTGATACGCCCCATTTTTATATCATATCAATACAAATAAAATAATAAAAATAAAACAAAAAACAAAAAATAAATAGAAATAATAAATTAAATTAAACTAAATAAAAACTAAAATCAAAAAAAAAAAATTAAATACAATAAATCAAATCCATTATTTTCGCTGAGTCGGGTACAGCGTCTCCCATTCCTTATATAGCCGTTATGGTTGATGTCTCAAGGACCTACACGTCTACGCCTTTTCCCGCTCCTTGTACTTTCTGGGCGGCGGTGATGATGGGCAGCGGCACCCACCCAATTAAGAGCTCGGATATTCCAGGTGCATACCCTTAAATCATAATCTCTTAAACGTTTGCAGTGGTTGCTATCAATAGTTGGGTCTCTCAACCGAAGCTGTTGTCTCTTTTTTTTTTGCTTTGAGGTGTAATGGAAACTGAAACAGCATGGCTAAAAGATTGGAAGTTTCAGTGTACCCACGCTAACACCATTTAAGGCTTCGCTGCAGTCTAATTGCAGCGTTTGTTCAGCAGAGATGGAGCTGCGAAGCAAGCGGCTCGCTATATATTATAGTTAGATTTATGCTAACGCCAAACCTATTAGCCTAGGGATGTTGTGCATCAGGCTTGGGACTCGCTACTTAGAAACCATCTCCGAAACAAAATATAAAAAAAAAACAAATATTGTAAAATATAAGAAAAATACAAAGTAAAACATTAGTTTTCGGTTTCATACACACAAGACCATAGTTTCAACGTTTACCTCCTGTTTTTTCAAGTGTATCACCACCTGATGCATACAAATGTATTGGAAATTTTGCATTTAATGCGTGAAACCCAATTGCAAATTGTTTAAATATATTTCAAACAAATACATATATATGTAAATATTTTCATATAGGGTACACACGCACCTCCATGTAAGTATTATATATATTATATACAAATATTTACATATCGATTCTTGAATTTGCATAAAAGTGCGCGAATTGAAATTCCAGTCTGTTAGGGAAATGCAAACACCCTGCATGGACCTCATGAGCTGCTGAAGTAAGTAATATTTATACGTATGTACATATGTACAAACATACATATATGTTATACAACAAATCGCACGGAATGAAATTGTACTGTACATTTCATTTTATAAAGCAAAAAAAAGGCGCCAAGTGCTAAGAATTGGATTTAAGCGAGCGACGACAATCGATTGAACAGCAAAATACTGCTCAATTAAACAAAGTCGATTTTATTTCTTAAAGCACATATGTAGGTACATACATACGAGTAGATGCGTATGTATGTGTTTACTGATACCAATATACGAACAACAATAGCTGGAAGTGGCAAGTCTATTAGAAAGTGTCTCTTGTCATTGTGCAATTTTCAATTAAAGGTCAGCTTGTATGGCAACAACAATGGCTTGGCAAAATGAAAAAAAGGAAGCATAAAAACGTGATCCATTGCAAGGTGAGCGGAAGTGGATTGGAAGCAGGCTGCTAGTTCTTTAACCCGCATTGATTGATCAACTACAATACAAAAGTAAATTAATTAATGTATGTATGTTTGTGTATAAAATCCTTATGTAAAACTTCCAAGAGCATAGTAAATGCGGTCGAAACAAGACTGCTGCTTCCTTAATAATGCAATACGTTACACAACTACATACATATACATACCAAATGCGTGAAAGTTGCGAGTTTTTCGGTCTCCTACGAGACAAATCAGTTTCAAGTTCATTTTATGGCACTTGATCTATTAATAGAACAATTATATGAACTAATTACAAAATTATGCAGCGTTTAGACTGGCACTCATTATCTATGGTCACAATTATTTATTTGCCCTAACCAATTGATTTCAAAGAAGCTAGCAAAAGTTTTATTTTTAATTTTAATTATGGATGGAACGAATTAGAATCTCGATCTACCTATTCTACAATACAGAAGAAGAAAAGACAGACCCATCAAAATTTATACCGTTGAGGTGAGTATACCAACTTGAAGTAAATTTAGCCGTGCCCATCTGTCCGTCTGTTTGTACGCAAACTTGTCCCTCAGTTTTTGGGATATTTCAACCGACCTGGTACCGGGACATTTAAATGATCAATTGTCGCATCAAACCACTTTAACATATACCCGACCGGTTTTTCATATTTGAGATTTAGGGCAATAAATTTGTCAGAAAAAGAAATTTATAAGCGTGAAAATTGCTACTTCGTGTAAATATCATGAATTCCATACTGGTCCTGAGAATTATCGAAATCCGCCGACTAGAAAAATAGCTCCCATAAATCGATTTTTCATTTATGAGGCTGAAATTTTGTATTCTACACACAAATATTGCCACTGAAAATCATCGAAATCGGATAACTCTAAAATGTCACATATGAGGTTTTGGGTCGCAAATTCCTCAAAAACAGCATCTACAAACGTGAGGTATTGTCTACACAATATACAAATAAACATTACACCCTCACCTTAGACTTCAAAATCACTCGATATTTCGACATTCCGACATTCTATATTCTCAACAGTCTTGAATGAGAATTATTCTTTGTTGTATTTAGTGATTTAAGTTATGAATCACTATTTTACAACAGCCCAATAAAGCTACCTTATTAAATCTTAATCATTTGTTAATTATAGGCATTGCCTAGGAAGAAAGACCAAGCAAAGCAAAATAAGGAAATAATCAATAGAGTTACGTATGTAATTGGGCAAAGAACACCTTGAAACGGCGCAGAATTGTTATGACCTTGACGAAATGCAAACAGAAAGGGTCTAGGCAACAATAATAAACAATAAAATATTCTGATAAAGAGTTGAATGTGCTTTACTTAAAAAAAAAAAAAGAGCTTAACTGTTACCCTCAGTATTGAGTCATTAATGTACTAGACTCTGATAAAGAAATAAAGTATGGGTCACTAAAAATGAAACTAATAATTAAAGAAATTCCATCTGGGGACGCCTACTTTATCATCTTATAAATATGTATTTGGAAAAACTTGGAGTATTTAACTACTAGCAGATCCGGCCTCTCATTGCTGTGGTTTTCTGTCTTTTGTAAAATTTTTATTCTAATAGATGTTGCTAAGAGTTATGAAAAAACCCCAGGTAAGCATCATTTAATTCAAAGTTTTAGGTTTGTCTGTCTGGGTCACTGCTTTGCTGATCCAAGCCTTTCACGAAAATGTCATTATAAATGCCCCGAAGGAAGCCAAATGCACCATTCGGATCTGTACTTATTCACACTCAACCTGAATTCATGGGCATGGTAAGAATAGCTGCCTATCCAAGGCATAATCGTTTGTGTTAATCTGTTTGTGATCCCTTTTCCGTAAAGAAAGTAGTGAATGAATCGAACTTGGTTCCATATGTAGACTCCTTTAATTTTTCTGCCTGTAAAAAGGACTTCAAGTACAATGAACTTTAGGCAGAATCTTTGCGAATAGGTCAGTCTTTGGACCGTTTCCCGAAAGAAATACAAACTACCAAATTTTTAGTAAACCTGCATACAAACAAATGCCTTTATATACGTGTATATACACATATACAAAATAAAAAAATAATAAAAAATTAATTTAAAACAATAGGAAATTTGTAAAAGCTGTCTACAATGAACCTGTTATTAAGATAGGTGAACGACATTAAATTTAATAATTACATACAAACATGATGTGCTCTGTTGAAGAATTTCGTAATTGACGTCAAAAATCTTCGAAATCGCAGCTGCGAATATATTTGAATATTTTTTAATAAATTACAGTTACATATCGATGTATATTTGAACATTTTTTGTAAATATAATAGGTAATTGAACACCACACCTGAGCAACTACAAATACCTATACGTTTAAATCTATATAAGTATGTATGCGTATATATTACATACACGACTATGTACATACATACGTGTATATATTTGAGGAAAACAACTAAAGTCATTGCACTATGAAATATTCAATTGGAATGAAATTAGCCCATATATTATATACTAAACTATTTACTAAAATTTTTTTCGAAAATCGCAAGTCACGTTGTGGACGTTAGACCTTTGGACGATACTCCAAAACACTAGGGGTATACGAGTAGGTAGGACGTAGGTAGGCAAAAGATGCTGCCAGTATGTGATAATTTGCAC